ATAAATAAATAAATAAATAAATAAATAAATAAATAAATGGATGCGGAAGGAGGAGGACCTAAGGGGGTCAAGAGGGGGCGAGCAGAAGGGAAACTGAAGCTGGTGAGGGAATAGGCTGAGCATCTCAATGTGAACTTGGATTTCAGGTTAGTTGTCTTTGGAATGAGTATGTAAGAGTTGATGCGAAAGCACAGAGATTTTAACAAAAAAGCGAGTATGTGCAGTTGCTAAGAGGAAGAAAATGAGGAAGGAGATAAGAGGTTTTTGCAAAAAGGAAGAGATAGAGTTAAGAGATTATTTTATTTACTAAGAAAGCCTCGCTTATCTAGTGCTGACCTAGGGACTTCACAAATATTTATTCTTGAAATCCTTGCAATCACCTTTTGATGTAGGTGTTATTATTTTTTTGTTTGTTTTTGTTTTGTTTTTGTTTTTCTTCCAGTACCAGGAATCAAACTCACGACCTTGCCCTTGCCAGGTAGGCACTTTACCGCTGAGCTAAATCCCCAGCCCCTGAAGTAGGTGTTATTATCATATCCATTTTACAGCTAGGAAAGGAAGGCAAAGCAGGGTAGGATAGCTCAAGTAATGTTGTGTAGCTGGGAAGCAGCAGAAATAGGATTCAAAACTAGGCAGCCTCAGGCTGGGATATAGCTTAGTGGAAGAACACTTGCCTAGCAAGTGAGAGGTCTGGGTTCAATCCCTACTACCATGAACAAACAAAAAACCAGGCTGGGCATGGTGGCACATGCCTGTAATCCCAGTACTCAGGAGGCTGAGGCAGAAGGATCATTGTGAGTTTGAGACCAGCCTGGGCTACAAAGTGAGCTCAAGGCCAGCCTGAACGGCATAGCAAGACTCTGTCTCAAAAAGACCAAAACAAACAAACTCCCAAACAACCAAACAACTAAGCAGTCTAGATTCAGAGTGGTGGTTATTTCAGAGTTGTGGTTATTTAACTTCTCTGGTTAAAATTCAGAAATGGAGAGAACTGTGTTTTTCATTGTTTTTTTGCGGGGTGGGGGGTCTTTTGTTTTTGAGGCAGGGTCTCGCTATACAGTTCAGGCTGGCCTTGAGTTCACTTTGTAGCCCAGGCTGGTCTCGAACTTACAACGATCCCCCTGCCTCAGCCTCCCAAGTGCTGGCGTTACAGATGTGTGCCACCACTTCCGGCTGAGAACTATGTGTTTGAAGTAGGGAATATAAAAAGAAGAAAAAAAATGAAATTAAAAAAAAAGATTTTTTTCCACCAAAAAATAGGAGGATACAAGAACAGCTACCAAAACCGCTAGGAGGCAGCACTGAGTCCAAGTAGCGAGGCCAGGGCAGGTGGCAGGGGCTGCGCGGATGTTTCTTTAGTCATCCTGGTTTGTGATGAGGACGCAGCTAGGAACAGATTCTCATACTGCGGAAACAAAGCGAATGGGGAGAAAAGTACTCTTGGACCATATTCCCTCTCTCCCTGGGAGCAGAAGAAATCAGAGGGGGAGTAGAACGGGAAAGGGACAGCGAAGACCACAACTTGCAACAGGCAGGATGTGGACAGAGGAGAAAGCCCTGGGGAGGTGTGCGCCCTCCTTGCTGGCACCAACAGCGGGACTAACAGCTCCGGAGTGTGAGCAATTAGGGTTAGTACTGCGATGCAGGTCACAAAGGCTCCGTAATCTGAGGTTTATGGCTGCATATAAAATGTGGGGGTGTTCACGAATTTAGGAAGACATATCTTTACTTTCAAATATCGACAATAAGTTAACAGCAGAATGAGCAGAACTTGACTTTGTCACCAATAAAAGTAAAAAATATTTTCATATTACAATTGCTCCAGCCGGGCGTGGTAGCGCATGCCTGTAATCCCAGCACTCGGGAGGCTGAGGCAGGAAGATCATTGTAAGTTTGAGGCCAGCCTGGGCTACAAAGTAAGCTCAAGGCCAGCCTGAAC